AGACACAATCATGTTAAAAAACAATTGTCAAAAACATGTTGTTATAGTGCAGTGTTTCCTAACGGTGTCAGCTGTTGCTCCGTGATGAGGGATCTTATCTGATCTTATGTCATCCACTACCCACTGACTAACCAACCACTTTCTCAGGAGAGACACAGATTCATCTGTGAGGTTTCACACACAGGAACATCCTCTTTCTGTGTATTTCCCCACATCTGGAACCAGACGCACCTGTAACTCCTCGTCCGTGAGGTTCTCCCCGAGCTCTTTGGCTACTCGCTTGAGATTTTTGAAAGAGATTTTGCCGGTTCCGTCGTCGTCGAATAGCCTGAAAGCTTTCATGATTTCTTCTTTCGAGTCCTTCTCACTCTGTTGTTAAAGATAAATGACACGCAGCTAAACTCAGTGTGGGAGTGGGCATTATGACCAAAATCACAGTACAGACAACTTTCTATCACGGTAACGGCATACAGCATCAAGACTTTTATTTTTGCTTGAAATTTAAACAAATAAACATTTGGTTACTATAGTTAACTAAAACTTTTTTTAAAAATTAAACCCTGGAGAAAATTTTTTAAATTAAATCTAAAATGTATTAAAAAAATTAATTCACCTAGTTGCCAAGCCAATTTCTAATCTTAATTTAGTTTAACCTGATGTACTAAAATGACTAAAACTGAAATAAAATTAATAAAAATTATATATATTGTTTATATATATTATTTTGTTATATACAAAACAAAAACGACTGAAAAGGTCAAAAATGCACCAAAAATTCCTAAAACTTTTACTAAAATTAAATTGAAAACAGAAAATATAAAAAATATTTAACAGACTGAGGTAAATATAAAAAATAAAAACAGACTGAAAAAAATTTATAAAAACTATAATAGTATATCAAAGATACTAAAATAACACTGTTATATATTCCATAACCACTTGAAAATCTATTATTGCATTAAATAGTTTACAAATACATGGTATTTCATTTCATTTGATTGCTTTTCTCTTTTTATTTTAAACCTGACATACCAAATTTCAGATTCTTCATAAAAAATATTTGATAAGGCACAATTTTCTTCTGTAGATCTGCAAAATCGATGAATGTTGCAACATTAACACTGTTATTTTCCTGTTCATTACATGTTAATTTTGTTAATATTTTCATGATATTTACAGTATGACCAAAATTACTGTATGAGTAATTTATGTCACACTTATGGTATACAGCATCAAGATTAGTATTTTTGCTGAAAATATAAACATTTTATATATTACATAACCATGTGGTCAAGCTTATTTTTGGATTATCTATTGAATACTTTACAAATAAAAGGTATTTCAACTCATTTGATTGCTTTTTATTTTGAATTTGATGATAAAATTCAGATGATTTAAAATTGTTAAAAAGAAATGACTTTATAAAATAGTTTCAATTTTAAATTCTGATTGGACGAGCCACTTTCGAGCTTTTGGTTGCTTGGGAACCATAAACAACTCTTTCAATGTCTCGCTGTCTAATAACACCACAAATTCCTTGTCATCTTGACGCATTTCTTTTCTGATATTTTATTGACGTCATTTTCCATGTAAATACCTGTGGTTTGCAACTGTGGCCAGATAGTTGTCTGAATGGTTGTGTTATCATTCGGCTTGCAGACTTACCATTTTCTGTGTCATCATAGAAAGGAAATCATTGAAGCTGATTACGCCTGACCCTTCTTTATCAATATCAGCGATCATCTTTTTTATCTCTTCTTTCTTTGGCTCAAACCCCAGAGCTCGCATAGCAACCTAAGGCAACAAGTCAATTACTCTGTTAGTATACAGTATGTACCAGTGTGTTTGGACATATTCTGTATTTGAATGGATTCACATTATTAACATTTTTAAACCTTTAACTTTCAAGGCAAAACACTACAGTCAAATAAACAATAGTTTGTTTATATACCATTAAACCGTGGTTAAACTTTATAAACCGTTATCTCTAGCTAGGTTCTCGCGAGACTAGCATATTTTGCGCCTACGTCCTACTGTACTACTGTGAATGTGTGTACAGCAGTTAGGGGAAGCTAGAGATTATGGTCTATAAAGTTTTAAATATGCATATTTTTCTTACACAAATGCATCACTTCGCTTCAGAAGGCCTTTATTCACCCCCCGGAGCCGTGTGGAGCACTTTTTATGATGGATGCACTTTATTGGGCTTCAAAATCTCGACGCCACCCC